CTTGCCATGTCATCGAGAATTAATAAAAAAGATAAAGGAAAAAAAAATCGTTCATGTCAGTGATCCTCATCCGAAGCATTTCAGACCGTTTGATATAAATAGCATTAAACGGCTAGGATAAAAATGCCATGTCATCGACCCGTGACTAAGAGCATGTTCAACCATGATACTTTAGTGGATATTGATATCCAAATATTAATAAAAAACACACTCTCTCTTCATTTTACTCAACTTTATACCTTCTCTTTCATCTTTTTACTCAACTTTTATTAATTTTATACTCTCTTTAAATATAAAATTATTAAAAACACACTCATTTTCTCTTCAAAAGTATCAAATAGTTGATACTTTTGATACTCTTTCTCTAAAAAAATACCCACTATCTCTTCTCTTTACTCAAATTTATTAATTTTATATTTCAATACACCCCATTATTTCAACCAAAAACACTCTCTTTCTTCCTTTAACTCAAATTTTAATAATTTTATATTTAATGATACGTACATTGTATCACCACTAAACATGCTCTAAGCATTCCAGGCCGGTGGATTGAATATTGCACTTGACGGCTTGGATTCCGCACGTGTGCATATCAAATAAGAAGGATCCACGTCATTTCTTTCTTTTTTTTTGTCGAAACCCACGTCATTTCTTAATCATCGGAAAATCATCCTTCTAATTCGCTTTCAATCCATAAATCATCAGAAAATCTCTCAAATCAGATACGAAACACATGGAACACCACCGATCGGCAACTCAATTCTCCACCGTTCCTTGTCTCCATAGGCTTCCAACTGTCACAGTACGGTATAGTGGCTGAGCTCAAACTTGCCGTCGAAGGAGCCGGAGCACCGTCGTCTCCGGCGAGCAAGTTTATATGGGAGCTCAACTCTTATCTTTGTTTGTTTGGCAGCATTTACCTGAGATATTTTCTTGTCTATTATCTTGCTCTTGCATCTGCTCTCCTAGTGCTTGCACAAATCGTTGGGGGTTGCTGGTTATTATTATAAGTATGGTGACGAAATCCAAATGCATATTAAATCGAACAGTTTGGAATCCTTCGTCGTGGATTGATCAAATCATAGCCTCAATGCACATTAATCGAACGGTTTGGAATGCTTTTTCATGGATCGATGACATGGCAATTTTCAAGTGTGAAATCCTAGCCGTTTAATGCATATTTATATCAAACGGTTTGGAGTA